TTTTTTTTTTGAGTCTTCAATTTTTCCTTTTTTTTTTTTTTTTTTTTTCCTGATAGATACTTTTTCCCGTGTTGTGATGTTCAGGACTCACAGCCGCGCCGTGGAATGAAGAGGCAAATCGGTGTATCGCTCCTCACCTCACTAGAAACTGAACGGCTGAAGGGGACAAAAGCCCGAGCTGGGTTTCCCACCTTCACTGGTTGAGGGTCTGTGCTACATACAGGTCCAAAGCCCACGCCTCGTGTGTGTACACAGACCTTACCCCACCTTGTGGCAGTGTAGAAGACCATTATACCCATACTGGTCCATAGGAATGTGCTACTTTATGCTACTTTATCACTTTATAGCTGGCACTGCCTAACTTACATGTCCTTCTGGTGCGAACAAGCATTATAACGCAAAGAGAACAAAATTTGTGAGGATTTTTTTCTTTTTTTTTTTTGGCCTAATCCATCCAGGATGAACCTGCTTTCTTAATGGCGACCTACTGGAGGTTTTACACCTCCGACATAGTACGTTATTAGTAACTAGGTAGAAAAGGGTTATGTATAACCTGTGTATAGCCTGTAATCCAGGTAAGATTCTGGCTCCCTCCCCTCCTTCTTCTGTAAAGTTGCAGCTTGGCTTCGTGAACTCGAGATGGCTGAGCTGGCGCCGCTAGTGCAGCGAGGGACTTGCTCAAGCCTGGGGCAGTGGCAAAGTTTGGTCATTGTATCTGCGTTTTTTAAGCAAGCGTGATACCTTCCTCCTCCTCAGCCCGGCTCTAGGAATTGTAGTAGGGGACAAGGCTTGTCTTGTTTTCTTAATAGCTTCCCTCCTGCTGCTCCCCCCCTTCCCCCCCCAGTTCATTACTGTTGTTCTGCTAGAGATATGAGACTGAGAGTAGCACAAAACTGGAAATACATATTGCTGCTGTGATTGGTAGAAGCTGTATGGATGTGGCTTTTGTACGCAGCAAACGGAACTAGACCACACCTGTAGCACAAAGTTCATCATCTGATACCTACCAGTCAGTGACCCACACCAGAACCTTTGGCGAATGGGGTAAAAATTAAAAAGCCATTATAAATTTGCACCTGCGTGTATTGAAATCTCAAGTTGGGTGCGATGTGCTGTCTGGCTCTGATAGTTACTCTGGTTAACTAGGAAAAATAGTACTCACATTTACAGTTGGTTCAACTTGAATTTCGGCCTCTTGTCACTCAGATCCAGAGGTCTGGGGCACTGCACACTTCTGCAGTGGCTGGAATTAGTCACTAGAGGGTACAGGCGTATGTGGATTTAAGGCACTGTTTCTAAATGGCTGGAAATGATATTTGTCTTGGATCTAAGACATGACTCAGATCCTTAAAATGTTATAAAATGAAAACAAAGCATGGACAAGGAGTTTGCTAATTCCACCAAAATGTTTAATACCATAATAGATTTTCACTGAAGTACAGAGCTAATGTGAATATTTGTACAAAATATGTGGTTAAAAATAGTATTGATTTATAATATATACAGATATGTCACATCTGTGTCAGAAACGCAGAAACTTGAATGAAAACATGAGTAATGTTTTTAAATCTACAACAACATACATGAAATATTTCTGCAGCTACCCACAGTAGGACAACTTGCCAAGTGGACACTTAAGGATCCGTCAGTCATTACAGATGGCATTTCTTTCAGAAGTTTCTGAACAAGAACTCTGTGCTAAAATGGATTCAAA